TACTATACCTGGTAGCTGCACTATAGCTACCCTGGGTCTCTATACCTTGCAATCTGCCAACTACACCTTTCCATTCAGATGATGCAAATGATGCATTTGGCATTTCTTGCATCACCACCCCTCAAAAATCACCTCCAACACAACCTCAAAAAACCTTCCCTCGAAGCACCCTCCTCCCCCAGCATGTGCCGAGTTTACGTGTACCATTCCCGGGCCACCCCCCCAAACCCCCTAACTACTCACTTCGTTCGCCAGACACAACTCCGCTAGCGCCTTCTAGGAAGGCTGGCTTTCGTAATCGTTATATTCCAGCAGGATGAATTATATCAAGAGGTTTTGAGATGTCTATCGTCTATCGAAGTCTTTTTCATGAGAATCTTGTTCCCAGAATGGTGGACTTCCCCCCTTCTCTCTCGAAGACTGGGGGTCTCTACCCCATACTTTGAACCGGTCAGTTCGTGGCTTGACTGACTGGGCGAGATCCGTTGGTTCGCCTGCCAAGTCGGAGTGGTGGCATAGATATTCCCAGAGATCGTCCAGGCCTGGTGGTGCTTTCGGCGACGTCCAGGACGTGGGACTGGGGACCCAAACACGACGATAATGGGACTGCCATAGGACTGCCGGTCAGTTGGGGTGGTGCCAGCGGGGGTCAATTGATCGGCATATACAGTATGGCATACATGGAGTGTTTGGGCTATGAATCCGACTGGTGAAATGTCCTGGATGTTTTGAGTGATGCACAGAATCCGACTGGTCAGATCTGCAGGGACTCAAGAGTTCATCGATGGTTCCTTTTAAAGAGAACTTTCGGATTCTTTTGGAAACAGCAACTGCAAGCTCCACCACTGATCATTCATCAACACATGGATAATGGGCATTCAGGCTACAAGTAGGCTACAAGCCTATATTAGTCCCAAAAGTAATTACAGAGGTAAAAGGTTTGAGTCAACAGAACACCAATCATTGGTAAAGGCAAAGTAAAAATAAAGGTCTATTCAAGAAGTGCACCAACACCAATCAGGGCTGTTCATGTGGGTGTCTTGCGTTCATGTTGCCTGTTTCATTGGGACGACAACGCACCGACATACACCTGTTACATATCGAGTGGAACATAGTGGATGGCACTACCCATACAAGCTGGCCTGTTTTCTTCACCATCTAATTAATTTGCACCATCTACATCCACCGCGAAGCTCAACCATCTACTCTGCACCTGCCATATCTTTACCATAGCCTACCTTCAAAAAAGTGCTCCTTGCAGTCTCTTCTTTTGGCCATGCGTGTGGCGGTTTATGAGGCAGGTCTCTTGCTGCCTGGGTCCCTTAATGGCCATAAGGTTCTGGGACAGTGGAAAAGAACACACAATTGCTAATGTAGATCAGTGTCTATCATTCCGCTGCGAACCCGATGACACTGGCTTCTTTTTGACGTATGAACATACGACACTCGTCTTTGTCGTGCATCAAAGCTCAAGCTTCTTGATCTTGTCCTCCAACTCCTTCTGCTCTGCCTTTAGCCTTTTGGCATCTTTGAAATTTTCATCCTGCTCCGGACGCACAGTTCACAGGCGCATGTTCACTCCCTCGCAGCGAAAGGAGGGAGGAGCGATCGTTTCATGCCCTCCCCCCTCCAATAACCATCCTAATTGAACCATCAATGACATTCCAAACTCTTCCCAAGGGGCAAAGCCCACAGTACAAGTAAATTGTGAATCCTATCCCATCCATCCATGTTCACATGTTGTCACCCTCCAATCCATCTACATCTAACCCATCCATATAGCATTGTCATAGCTGCCATGGCTCATCTACAGCGCCCCCTTTTTCACCTGATGTAGCCCCTCAGCCAACATTATGATGTTCACCCAGGATATCCCAAGACTCTCGCCTGAGTGGCCTTGATCTTTCGTTCCTTGACATCTTTCAGCTGGGCTTCCAGCTTCTTCAGTTCCGCTTTGGACGTATCCGAGGGCGCCGAAGAAGACTTGTCCGCAGACTTTTCCGCAGGCTTGTCGTCCGGCTTCGGCTCCGGAATACCCGATTTCCTGAGTAGCAAATGAAAACCACAGACTCCACTTAAAGCATTGAGTTTTGCACTTCAGGCTTTCAAAACAAATACAAAATCCACCCAAACGTACATCTACCACATGAAACATCCAAAAGTGCCCTTGGGTCTTTAAAGCTTGCTTCACCTTGAGTTCGTTTCGCTGAGATTCTTGTAGGCCTTCTTGGCCTTCTTGATCGCAGACTTCAGTGCCCGCTCAGCGGCACTGATGTCCTTGGTCAATGAATTGGAGAGACCGAACTCCAGCTTTGCATTGGCATCCTGGGCCGTGACCGGACCGGTGCAAGGCGAAGGACGGACATGCGGCCCATGGTGTTCGGGATCTGAGAACAAAACACCACGTCTGATAAGCACCATGTAGGTCACCGGGATTCACATGATTTTTCTCCATGGATTTTGTCCCAAGTGTCCAGAAGAAAAGTCTATCACAAGTATATTTATATACAGGTATATAATTATCTTCTCTTTAACTAACTTATTGTTTTTTCAGATTGGTATGCTTGTACATGTGCCTGTGTCAGTCTGTGGATGTTACAACACAAAGCTAGTCCGGCGAGTTCGACCCTCGATCGGATTATCATCACCGACCAACCAACCAACCAGTACGCACCAAACATCTGATAGCGCAGCGGTCGGTGGTAGAGAACCGAACCACACCAAACCCAAACGACCAATCAAATCTGAGCACTGAATGTCAACCAAATCTCCCGGCGTTCTTCTTTCAGAGTCTCCAGTCGCTGTTCCGCCTGGACCACCTGCGAAACCGCCGGTCGCAGGTACGTCCAAGCGTTTGGATGCTCCAACGCCTGTTTATTTGATGTAGACAAACTATGCATTGGATGTGAGATTGATATATCCATTTTGGAACATGCAACAAAAAGCAGTCCAGTACTGGCCCCATCAGAAAACACTGAAACTAACCGATTGCGACATGACAGTGATCTTCCGGCTTCCGCGCGTTCAAATGTTCAGATGCGTTCACCGAACTGAATCTTTGCTTGTTTTGACATGTGTCACTGGGAACGGAGACCTCTGCCAACTAAACAGACCATGGCTGGCGACTTTTGAAACCAACCATCATAGCTGCTAATTTTTTGGGAGTTGCCGCCTTCGCTTGTCCTGGCGACCTTCCGAACCCCAGAAAATGAAACAACAGCGAACATCCAGTGCAGAAGCGAACACCCGGAGCATCCAAAAGCCAATGCGAAGAGTCAAACAGGATACTAGATTTGACTTACACTTATAATAGGCCATTTGCAAAATGTCATTTATAAAATTCCCACTGCATCAGACTTGTATGACACATCCATAATATAAAATCCACCCTGTTTTCTTCTTCCCTGGCGTGTTGTGTGTCCGTCGTTCCGTGCCAACGGTTCGTCGCAACCGAACGGATGTTTTCACTGACTCACCCTGGACGTTCTTGTCCAATCGCTCGTTCTGGTCCATGAAACTGACCAGCGACGCGGGACACCCGAGGTTTTCGAAAACAACCCCTTCACCAAGCATTGAACGTAGCAAAACCAAATACCATGCGAGGGGAACATGTTCGTCCTGACACCTCGTCCTCTCTGTTGAAAACCACTCAAAATACCAAGGATACACTAACCAACCAAAATCACAGGGCACCGTCAGAAGAATCATAGCCGAAGCACAAAGCAAAAATATGACACCTGCTGAATGAAGCCTGAAATCCAATCTCTTTGAGTGCCTTTGTTAACACCAGAAACTGATGCAGGAATCCACATACCTTCTCAGGCGATTGACCCTCCAAAAGACCACCTCAGAGGGTTTGTGCATCCCTAGTGGCACCGTTCCGTAGAACATCATGGTTTTGATTGGATTGGTAACATTCGTCAGATTGGTCTCAAATGTGCATATATATATATATTATGTATGTATGTATATACTAATATATCAACATGTTTACAGGAACCCCGAGTGAGAAACTCCGACTCGCAAATGACCTCGGGGAACAGCAACCACGGGTCCATCTTGGCTTTCTCCTCCTCCAGCTGCTTCTTTCGAGCCAAGCGCTTTCGCTCAGCTTCCTCCTGGCCAAGTCATGATCCTGACTACCGTGGTCTAAATGAGACTTGTCAAAAATGTGTTATAGAAACATAATGTATAAACCAACTTTTCAAAAATAGAAGGCTCTTTATTAGAACATGTTACTGCATGATGCACGTGCCACTTTTGTTGCCCTCACTCCTGTTGTCGCTTCTTCTCAGCTCTCTTCTTCTCCAGGAGCTCCATGTTCTTCTTTCGCTCCTCATCGCCAGCCTCTTCCTCTTTCCGCCTGGCCTAGGCCAACCGGTCAAGATCAGGTGACCGTGACCGTTCCAGCAATAAAATCATGCCTCTGGGCGGGCAAACATGTGGAGAGGTTTATTCATACCATCCCAGATCTCTCTGCTTTCTGTCCTGGAGAGTGTTGGAATTCAACTGTGGCCTCCAGGGTGGGTGGGAATCCGATAGATCTGGAAATTCCAACTGATTAGTCATCACCAAGGCCCCGCCCTCCCCCGGTTCAACCGACCATCTTCGGGCTCATCCTCTCCAATTCGGGGTCCGCGGACGGGACGTGTCGCCAGCCACTTCAAAAGACCACGAAGGACCGTGGCCACGAAGGCAGCTGGACAGCACGTGTCTTCCATTGGTGCTTGCCAATTGGTTTCCAAGGACCGTGGTCTCACGGGGGCCAGCGTGAGACCAAGTTCTGCTAGCAATTCTGTGGAGGATAAATCAGGATAAACACCAATAGTTGTCCAGCGGAAATGGTGTCCTCTTCTACGGTGGGATGTTCTCTGCGTATCGTGATATCTTTTGGTCCACAATGCGGCAGTTTTTTGGAGTGTCTACATCACGCTAATAACCTAATACAGAATAAAAAACAACATGTTTACCTTTTGGGCTAATGAAGTCGACCCAAGTACCAAAGCCAAGAACATCTATAAGTTAAGGAGCCTCCTCAGCCTCTTCCTTTGCCTTAGCTTTCTCCTCCTCCTTGGCTTGAAGAGTCTTTTTCATCAAGTCCAAGCCCTCCTTGGCACACACGTTGTGATTCCGATGATATGCAGCTCATAGCTGGCGCAATCTGCCTTAAAATCAATGGAACCAACCCTCAAGAGGGCTGTTCAAAGGTCCAGCACGGTCCTTTGCAATCGATTGTTTTTTTTGTTGGAAGACTCTGTCAATTGACAAAAGAACACATCTTTTTGCTGAACCCATCTACACTCGCCGCCGTTCACACTCTGTGTCTCATATTCCAGCAACCCTTCAAAGTCCACCTCAGGCTCTGCTAAGCTGCTACATGTACTGTAGGATCTGTGAAATTTTCCAAAACCAATCACACGATGACCACGAGCCGGTTTGGGGACCAAAACAATTTGTGGCTTCAGATATGTTCAGCAAAATGTATGTTAGATGGGGGTCCCATATAAAACCACCTATAGCTTGGGGAATTGTGCCAAACCACCGTAGAACTCCTGACTCCTCTCCAAGTCCTCTGGTCGTCTCGCCGTCTCGCTAAAGAGAACAATCAAACCACTGTATACAACGCCTCTTCTCTCCTCTCGTCGTCCTCACCGAGCTATAGAGTACTAGTAGCTTCTTGCTCCGTTCGTAGCGATGCCAGGAGCCCCGAACGTAGCATCCTTGCTCCTAGTAGTAAGGCCAGGAGCCCCTAATAGTTTCTTGTTACTAGTAGCTTCTTGCCATAATATATACTCCTTTCGCCTCGCCCCAGGCGTCCGAGTTGGATCGCCAAAGCTTGGCACTTTTGTCCCAGGCAGACTTCGCGTGGTCGTTCACCACCTTCGTGGCCGACTTCACCTGGTGCCGAAAAAAAGTCTGGATGGAAAAACGAAGACAAAGCGAACCTTTTTGTGGCTGACATACTCGGTATAGACACATATACATATTTAATAAATAGTTGTACATGGACCCTCAAAGTCTACCTCTTAACATGGGACGTGTGTAAAACTATGTGCAAGTTGCAAAAGCTAAGGAATTCGAGAGACATGCTTCAAGATTACGGTGTCAAATTTCTGGCAATAAGTTTGGCAGATTGAAGGACGTTTAGGAAGGTCAACACATTTACGAGGATCAAAGCATTCTGAGGACATTAAGGAGATTAAGGGTGCTCGAGATAATCCATGTTTCGAGTAGAGCTTCACGCCAGCACTGAGGAACATTGCAACCGAATGCACAAATGGCTGGTTTTAGTGGGTCATTAAACACACAAATTAGCACAGGGAGTTGGTATGTACAAAGTCTTGTATACAGTGTAGGAATACAAAAGCGTCCAAGGGCCACACAAATTAATGCAAGTGTGCTGTTGTGTGCAGTTGTTATGTTGCCTAAAGTCTTTCAATGCTACGATGAGAGGATGTGCAATCTGGGTCGCGGTTCACGGCGGCCACTCAGCCACTCAGCCACTCAAGATTCTGACCGGCCACAGAGCCACTCAGCCACTCAAGATCCTGAGTGCCTGAGTGGCTGAGTGGCTGAGAGGAAGAAAGTCTGAGTGGCTGAGTGGCTCGGCGAAAATCCGAACGAGGCCAACCCCAATCGGTCACCAACTGGTCGCTGATTCGGAGTTCCCGCACCAACCCGAAGCGAGCCCGAACCAAGCCAATCCGAATCGGTCACCAAGTGGTCGCTGATTCGGAGTGCTCTCCCCAACAGGAATCGATCGCCAGGAGTCGGCGCAAATGTCGTGGCAACTGTCGTGGCAGGCACAGCACTTCGTGGATCTTGGAGTGTAGATTTCGTGGCAGGCACAGCACTTTGTGAATCTCGAAGTGCATATGTCTGTCAGCCACTCAGCCACTCGGACTTTCCTCCTGTCAGCCACTCAGCCACTCAGACTTTCTTCCTGTCAGCCACTCAGACTTTCTTCCTATCAGCCACTCAGCCACTCAGACTTTCTTCCTGTCAGCCACTCAGACTTTCTTCCTGTCAGCCACTCAGCCACTCAGACTTTCTTCCTGTCAGCCACTCAGCCACTCAGCCACTTAGACTTCTTCCCTGTCAGCCACTCAGCCACTCAGACCTTCTTCCTGTCAGCCACTCAGACCTTCTTGCCGTCAGCCACTCAGCCACTCAGCCACTTAGACTTTGTTAGGCACTCAGCACTTGGACTTTCTTCCTGTCAGCCACTCAGCCACTCAAGATCCTGAGTGGCTGAGTGGCTGACAGGAAGAAAATCCGCATTTCCACGTACAATCTGATTTCCCACTAACTACTACACCCCAACTCTTGATATTGCAAGAGTGCTTAAAGTAGCTCTGGGAACGCTTTCAGGGCAAGCTTTCGCCGACGTGGAGCGCCTCAAAACAGCAAGTGGGTAGAGGATATCCTCAACTTGGAACCCTTCCACTGTTGGTGGTTGCGAGATGCTTATTTTCTTACCACCACAGAACTTGCTAATCTATTCGGAATTGTAATAATATGCAATAATATGTTAACAAAAATAACACAATAAAATATACCGTTCCGTCGAATCTAAACGAATCCCTTTTATGACTTAACCCCTGGATGCTCCAAGTCTGTCCTGGACTGGTGGTGTCCACCACCGGCTGCCCATTCATCTTTTCGCTTTCTTTTCTTTTTCTTTCTCCCTTTCCTCTTCCACTCTCTTCTCTTCTCTTGCTCTACCTTCTCCCGGTCCTCCCAACCAACCGACCTGCCTCATCCTCGGAGAGTCCGAAGGCAGCGGAGCGCGCGCGGAGCTCCGTGGTGCGTTCGACGGCGGCGAACTCGGGGTGCCACGCTTGGGCGAAAAGCACCTGGCGTTCCGGCGTGCCAGTGAAAGAGAAAAGGGGGGGGGGGCTTGGAGACCTTTGGTTTTTACGAGTCAACTGGTACATTCTCAACGATGTAATTCCTGCTCGGACTCCAACCTGCTGAGAAACAGCCCGCCTGTGCTTTCTCCTTGGACTCCAAGCCTGGGATGTGTGAGGTTGACACCCAACAAAAGTTGAGATGGGCTGAGCTTGACAAACCGTGATTCACACGCCAGTCCACTTATACACAAAAACCATCCTACCCATGTATGACCCTTTAAATACCCTTTACTAATACTAATGTGGGTGACATTGGTAACTATTCCATACATGGATCGTCTGGGTTAGATCATTTTCTTTCTCTGATTCCCTTGCGGCCGCGGCACTGACTTCCAAGCAGAAATCCACTCCTAGGGCTTCACCCGCCGTGAGCTCGACGGACTCAGATCCGGCCGTCACGCGCACCCCGTCCTGCAGAGGGTGAAACCATGTGAAACCACTCCGTTTCATGTGAGAGATGGTGAGTAGCATGATGCGGCAGGACGGACAATGTAAGCTATGCCGGACGACTGTGATTGTCGGTGACTGGTGTGATTGGTCCTTGCTGGAGATCAAAAGCCCAATGTTGGCATTGGTTGTGCAGGTGTCGAGGCTCTGTTTCTTATTCTCCTTGAGCACCAGCAAGCGTGTCTCTCCAAAGGCATTTGACTGAATGTCTGGCACCTTTGCCAACCTGAGGCTGCAAGCGGCTCCACATCACACAAACATCAGGTCGTCAACTCTGCGAACGTACGCGTCGATGACTGAAGTCGATGAGGCGACAGCAATCGTCGACATGCAACGGCTGTGAGGTGCATTGATGTGATTCTAATTGATTCTACTCTGGGGTCAATGCATTACATAGCGACCAGTTGCGTGACGAGCAGCTTCTCGCAAAGAACGGTGCTTTCGTCCTGGAACACCATGTCCGAGACAAGCAAGCGACACAGATAAAGCAACTATATACAGACTACATCAATAACCTGCTTCCGGCACATTAAATACTTCAACATCTTCAGCTATCCGAAACATATCAACATCTTACATACAGTACAAAAATAGTAATACACCATGCAAGCCCAAGCTCTCTGTGCGCAAGTCGACTGGTTGCCAGCGATAGCATATTATACTTGCCGCCCAATCCACCACGTCTCTATTACTGAACAGGGTCATCCTCGGAACTCGACCGTTTAGTACTAGTAGCTTCTAGCTACTAGTAGCGATGCCAGGAGCTACTAGTAGCTTCTTGTTACTAGTCGCAATTGCAGGAGCTACTAGTAGCTTTTTGTTACTAGTAGCAATGCGGGAGCTACTAGTAGCATTAAAAAGCAATCAGAAATGTAATTGGGTCACCTCACACTTCCCAATGCTCAAACTCACAGGTGGTTCTTTCTCTTCTGCATTATTCCTGGGATATCATGGCATATCCACATATCTTCACCCAAGAAAAAAGCCGTCGGCGTCTCTCCACCCATGTGTCCCTTCTCTCCATCCTCTCTGTTTCCCACCTTACAACCGGAGCCAGCTTTCGTTCGCTTCAGCAGCGAGAAGGACTTGTCAACCGCTTTCAGCTCCATCACAGCCTTGGCCACACCCAGGTCTTTCAGCTCCTGACAAGAGCGGAGCGCACTGAAGAGTGACTCACGGGCTGTAGAGCGACTCATGGTGGCTCCGGTGAAGGTGTAGTAGAGGATATGTAGATAGAAGATGTTTGCTAGACAAACGATATTCGCCTGTGGGACATAGGCAAGCCTCGACAAATTACAAAAGCTTTAAACTGTTGTTCGGCGTGTTTTCTGACGCTAAACACATATATATATATGGGTATATTATGGTCCTTTTGGAACATGGAACCTCTATCGTTCTACGACAAGGTAGGTTCTAGGTCAACTCATCTTGGGAACACAAGCCGTTCCAACGAGAAGCTTCTTCTCAAAGCGGTTCAGGGAGGTTCTGAGGCCATGTTCGGAAGCCTCTTGTTGAAACCTACTTCACAACCAGCCAATTTTCACAAAACATGCTTGCCACGTGGTCCATCTATGCATCTGGCACAAACATGCATCTGGTTTCATGCTCGGGCTGCGGAGTGGAGAGCATGTGGGGTTGAAAAAGGGCTTCCATGTTTCCATGTATTCCAATGCAAAAGATCCACGAACTTGTACGCTCCCGATTCCATCATGGTGGAAGTGGAGGATGACCGTTTTCCGCACCCCGAGTCCGGCCCCCACGGCCCTTTTGGGTGAAGGAGACATGCCCCAAATTGGAGCGTAACAAGAAGCTACTAGCAGCAAGGTGCATTGCTACTAGTGAACGAAGCTACTAGTAACAAGGCAACAGCGTCACAAGGCTCTCTCCTTGGCCAGCGCAAGCCGCTTCTCAGGGATCACTGGTTCGCTCACCATGCTCCTGAACATGACATATTGTGCGCTGTCAATCTGTCCAAGCCCGCCAAGATGCTTGTGATTCAATGGTCTTTGACATGCGCTATGGTGTTCTGTATGACTTTGAATCACGGCAAATTTGTGTTCACCACCAGCCCAAGATTCAATGGTAGCCAGCTTGGGGAGAATCGTGTATATACAGTCTATAATATAGTGCTCAGGCAGCCCGCAGTGCTATAGCAACCAACACAAATGAACATAGAACCACAACACTCGACATACTCTGCAAAGAGTTTCCATTGAAAGGTAGGAGGGCCGACCAATGCATCGTCTTTATCCCGCTGCTCAAAGCGCCCCGGGTTCCAAGAAATGCAAAGGTGTTTCGAAAGACAAAATTGGGTTATGAAAAGGAACATCTCCAATTAGATGAGCGAAATAACATCCAGGCAGTTGTTCAACACTTGCAAACTGTGTACCATACTGTAAAATCACAATGTTCCGGTGTGGGAATGTCATGTATATATATATATATATTAATATATTGTATATTATATATAGAGACAAAGAGAAAAAGAGAGAGAGATTCGTCTTCTTTTGCTAGTGCCTATGGCATCCTATTATATCCTATTCTGGTTATAGTTTTGCTGCTCTTTTTTGAGACCACGCTGCGCCGCTCTCGCTCGTTTTCCAGAGCAGCAGGGGAAAAACCGGCCTGACATAAAGCATCGAGCCCGTCTTGCCCTTGCTTTTGCTCACATCCAGGCGTAGCTTCTTCTTTTTCTGCATGGAATCCACGGATGCGATCTGACCATCGAGCCTCAAGTGCTGCGAGAGCTTGCCGAGCTTCTTTCTTCCCATCAAACAGAGATGACAGTGGTTGGAACACCAGCAAAACTGCGAAAACCAACGGCAAACAGTTGACCCAAAGAACATGTACCGCAAACACCCGCGCCATGCCACGAGTCCAAGGTATTGTCGATGACTTCTGCGAAGCTGAACACTTCCTTGAGGCCTGGATGTGAAGGGCTTGACAAGGAAAACCATGTATGAACATATATATTTGATGGACCGTGAACTTGGCCAAACTCTGACACACAAAAGTGACCCCCAGTGTGCACCAAGCATTGCTTTGCAATAGAAAATCATAGAACATCTCATCGACTTGAAATAAGGACCCCCGGCAACACTGGGCGCCAAGCATGAAGGGAATGTAAGAGAAACACCGGTTTTGACCCCACATCACCTCGTCGGTCGATTTCTCAGGCATCCAAAGCATCCGTGTCCTCCGTGTCCTCCGTGTCCTCCGACCATCCTCTGGTCACCAGCGTCCCGACGGATCGGGACACCGAGTCCTTTTCTTTCGGCCTGGCACCTGCTGCATGAGGTTGGGCAGAAATTGACCTGTCTTTCCATAGCCGGGAATCTCCTCCACCAACTTCTCCAGCGGCAAACTCTGCCCACCTTGGCTCATCCTCGGCGCTTGAGGTAGACAAAAGATGTTCATCGTTGAGGCAACGCCAATAAGCAACAGGACATTTCGATAGGAAAAACAGGGAAAGTGACTCAAATAAGTATAGAACACAACATCCAACATATACTGTACACATCAGATTTATCCGATCACATCGGACAGCGGCGACTGGAACGCCCATGATTGTTCGAAGGTATTTCTGCTGATTTCGGCGACCGATTCCAAGGGTTGCTCTTCCAGAATTGACCAAGTTGAGAGTGAGCCGAAACATGTCAATATCCATATTATATATATATCGTATATATTATATATGTAATATATGGCTTGCAATAGCTTGCAGGTATAGCCTGAATTGATGAACACTACTACGCAGATCTGCTCAAACCTGTCTAAAACTTTTCGACCCGCCTCATCACAGGTTGCTTTTCTCCGAACAAAGACCCTCCAAATTCTCATAGCTTCCCAGAAGCGAAGCAACTTGCAACTTGCAACAAGTTCACTTCTTTAGCAACACCTTGCATACCACTGCAGAGCAACAGAACAAGTGCAAGAGTAGGAGACTGCACAGCTGAAAAGCTCATCCCAAAATCCTTCTGAGCATCTGTTTGTGGACCTTCTTCAGCACCGATTTCAGGTTTCGGTCCAGCACCTCACGGCAGCGTCTCAGCTGGGTACCTGCCTGGGTGAGCTCAAACTTCCGCATGAAGTCCTTAGGTCTGAGGATCCACTGGTGGACAAATCAGAGTGCGATTTGTCCAAACCTTTCAGAGTTGGATGGCAGGTGTTGGAGGCTGTCAAGAAAAAAGGGTTTCAATCACATGCCCACTTTGAAGCGCAGTAGACTCATTGATTCCTTCCCATTGACATCATCCAACTTCTGGATTTCGTAGAGGGGCGGGCTCAACTTAGCATGAGGAACATCCAAATAAAAGGAACAGATCGTGGGATGATCCTGAAAGACTGCCCTTCCCACCCAGGCACGGCCCCCTGCTTGGTGAGTGCGATGGGTGCCAGGTCAGGGTTCTTCATCATGAAGTCCTCGTTCGGGACATTCATCTCCTCGTTCGCGCACCAGCCGTTCGGGACGACTCGGCAGAAGCGCGCGAGAGATTCCCGGCGGTTCAAGGGCCGAAATTGCCGAAACGTTCTCCCCATGGGGAGAGGTCGAACACCGATGTTCGACCTGACTTCCAACCTGATAGCGATGGCCTCCAAGCACCAAAGAAACACATATCAACATCACTGCTTGGGCATGAGCTTGTGAAACTCAAACTCACCATCCAAACATGCAGCTCCATCCAGTTCCAAATTGTCATTTGGTTTACTGTACCTATTTTTGTTGAACAACACACGAAACGAGTCAAACAACGGCCACTTCCCCAAGATGTTATCATTCCCCTATACAGTGATACAGTGTAGATGCTCAGCTGAAAGTCTTTCCACCCCCACTGAGCCCAACCAAAAAAAGAGGTCCGAAAGCCAGAGACAATTCTCGCTTTTGGGAAGGGGAACGTCTCTCCCGATGCCACCTTCTCTCCCGATGCTCTTCCGCCCACAACTCTGCGATACTAAGTATGCTGAGACCGCCAGGCATCTGAGATGGCGCTTTCCAGGCGTTTGGTGGCCATGGGCCAATTCTCTTTCTTCAACTCACACAGCCCCAAGCCCAGCCTGGCGACAGTGACGGGAGTGACGAAGAAGAGATTTGCGTGCCGAGAATGCCAAGACGAAATCGAAACGGCTTCGGCCGGTTTCAGAGTTAGTGTGAGGTGAACAGTTTTCTGGATGGGGAGGAGACATGCAGGAATTTCCATGGGGATCTCCTGCTGAAATACATGAAAGGACCAAGCTATAGCTCCTTATGACCAAAGTTTCGGTTTGAACAAGCTTTTTGGACAGGACGTGTCTGCAGTATAGTATATGAATCATCCATATGGCTTCCAGCTAAAATGTTGGTGATCTAGTACCTGATGTTGAAACATGTTGAAACTAACCCCCTCCCTCACAAAGTGAAGCATCACATTCAAAACAACCTGACCAACGACCCTAAAAACCTGTTTATTGTCTAATTACACCAATGTCAACATCTCGTACTCCTCCAGCCCGTTCTACGCCACAGTTCCATCCTCACCACCAGGTCGTTGCACGTTGCGTCCTCCTCACCACCAGGTTGTTGCACCAAGATCTCACACCTCTGGACCCAATCCCAGGTCTCGGATGGTCTTCCCAGGTCTCGGATGGTCTTCGTCTCACCATGTCTAACCCAGTCAAGTCATCAGTCAAGCAGCAAGGTTCTGGCCCGATAACTGCCAGCTGTGGAGTCGCCCTTTCCGGCCATCGCTTTCAACAGCTTCTCGCGAGTCTCGCAGGTCACGTCGCCTCGCGGTGTTGGTTTGCCGCGGCGGGTAAAGCTATGGTAGCTTCAGTTGGGAGTCGGGTCAGTGATTCAGGGGGTGCCGCAGGCTGAAGATAAGCCTGAGTACTCTGGAAAGCATTATCATTTCCCATGAAAGACTAGGATTCTGAAAGTCTTTTTGAGGTTTGGGCACTTCTCACAGGAGGCAATGGATAGAACCAGGTGGAGATTTGGTCCAATGAACGTGAGCCTCTGACATGCCAAGAATGAACTACAGTACATCCAGGCATGCCTGTGGAAGGAGACGGGCTTGGTGGCAGCCAAGAAAAAAACAAAGTCACTTGTCACAGTGTCATCCCAGGTTTTTGCATTCCAAGATGCCATAGGAGTTCTCATCTGACTCCACATCATTGAAAAGCTCCTTCCCATCATCATCCAGCCACTTTGGTGCGTCCATTCCTTGCTTGCGCGGCTGTGCAGCCGCAAGGCCCACCAGCACCGGAATCGCCACCCATGCCCGTCGCATGGCGCGCCTTTCCCGCGAGTCCCCCCGCGCGTCCGCGCGGGTTCCACGGCGCGAAGGGAGCCGTGGGGCCGTGGGGCCGAAGCCAAACGCTGCAGGTCCGGCGGAGGTGCCGAAGCCCAGGCGCGGCCATGGTTTCGATGTCCAACTTTGGGGAGCAAGTTGGACTGGACTGCAACTTCACAAGTTCGACATCCGCTGCATGATGATCACAAGTAATTAGGTGCATCCGAATCCATGGGCAGTTGCAAGCGTCGGGCGCATCCAACTTTTTCAAGGGTCCAGGGGAAGCGTACAATAATGCGGGGAAACTTTCCGGCGAGAATCGACCAAGGATCCACCAACCAGTTTGGTCGACGGGTGGAGTGATGAGCTTGACAACTTGAGACAAGGATGAGACACTTCAATGATCTCCTGTTTGGCTGTGGGTCATAACCAGGATAGCTTGGCTGACCTACCTGGGAGGTCGTTCGGTACATGGTGGACTGGTCGGGAGGCACTCTGCTATCGCCAGCCCCACCAGGCGCCCCACGCAACGAGTAGACCCAAATAGATACAGCCACAGCAAAATGTTTGTGCGCGTTACTGTTCGCTGCTTTTCTTGCTGTGAGTCAAAACCAAGACCCTGTAGAAACCGGAGAACTCAACAAAAAAGCTTCGTCAACCCCGCCATCTTCGTCAACCCCAATCCCGATCTCAGGCCCTGCTCGTGACGGTTCGCTCGATCGTTTCCAGCTTCGTCCCCGGACGTCGGTGCCGCCCACGAAGGTGCTCTCCGCCACCCGCTTCGAGGGGCCTCGGACGGGTTCGGAGCGGAACAGGAAGTGAAGTGCATCGCTACGTTCGGAACAGGTGCCTTACTAGTAGTAACAAGGTTCGCTACTGGAAACAAGTGCCTTACTAATAGTAACAATAAACATTTAATTAGAATTGTAATTACTAGCAAAGGAATCTATGGAGACCTCCCAGAAACCCCCTGGAAGAAGGAAAAAACATACACGTTCATATCTTGGAGGAGGAGCCTTTACTTTGAGGCATGGTCAACTAGAATCCACATGGACATGCGAGAAAACAAAAAGAACGCAGCTTTTGGCTGCGGAAGCCGAGAGAAACTCATTTATTGCAGCTGGTCTCATCTAGTCACATCTGGTCACTAGGCGGTGGTTTATCGCTCTAAAACATTAAACTTCGGCCCATGTAATGACCGACACCCAAACTGGATTGGTGAATATCTTCAGAACAAATCTCCGTAGTCCGCTCATGGTCCAGGGTGCTTTGCCTGTGCTGACCTTAGGTTGAGAACCAAGAACTGCGGTGACCTAGATGGCAAAGGCAATGTGATGGAATAGCTGTCGTTGTTGGTTCGCAGAATCTACAAAACACATCAACACAAATTGTTAGTTTGTTCCTTTAAACAACATGAACAGATTATTGGATCAGGGCATTCGTACATACAGCTGCGAGGTCTTCAATCTGAGGTCTCACAGTCTTAGATCATTCTATAATCATAGCCAATAGAATTGATTGTGTCACTCTACCTGGCCACTCTTTCGCAAGAATGTTTCATGAAAAAAAAACACAAAAAAAACAGCCCAAAGGCACACAAATCCATAGTTGGAAGGTCCAAATAATCGTGCCTGTATACAGGATGTATTTTCATATATGTTCATTACATGTCAACTTTCCATGTTTTGATCGTTTCGACTCACCCACATGGCACCCACGCCGAGGGCGTTGACGGTACCAAAAGTGACTGGCAAAGAAAACCGGTCGTCTTCAAGGGGCTACTCAAGGAGACTTGCCCCGGCTCTGACTTGTTGCCACTGGAAGGGTCCTGGATTGCGGTGAGCCTTTTCGGTGAACTTTTTAGTAACCACACGACCCATGGGGCAGGTTTTATGCTATAACATGTAAGGACTCATGTACGGGGTAGTTGAAAAGGGATCAATGTAAGCATATACTCCATGCATGGTGCATGAAGTGTTTGGAGGTTCAGTGAGTCCGTGTATGTCAAGACTCTTCCACTATCAACTGTGCACATGCAAGCAGTGAGGCGTAGGATTCCTAGGCCAGAACCCGCAATGGCCTAGATTGTGTATTGCTGGACATGTCAACCATTGGAGGTTAGTATGGGTCTATCTCAAAGCAAGACACAAAATTGGAGGTGAAAAAGACACCTTCGTGTTTGTGTCTTCTCCGACCGCTTGCTTTTGTTTTCCCATCTGTCTCACTACTGGTCATATTTGGTTCAAATGATTCGCGCAACCCATGGGTTTCTCCTTCAAACTCTTCTGAGAGACCAGAAGTCATGCTGTCCTCAAATGTTCGTAGCTACTGTATCTTCCCTCATGTACCCGCCTTTGGTAGGCTATTCAGATCACAAATCTCGTCAGAATCAAAGCGGAGCGCTGTAACACCACAAGTGGAAGGCCAAACGGAAGGACCAATCAATCGAAATTATTGGTCGCACCTGCTCTCAAACTCCATACCCACTGTTTGAAGCAAGGGGTCCAAGTATATTCTACTGGTAATTGATTGTATAGATTATGTACCTTAATCGACGCTCCCAATCTTCAACAAGGACACATTGACACAGGTCATTTCCATCCCCGAAAAGTAGAAGAACACGAGCTTGTTCCTCAGTCGACCAGCCGAAAAAAATAAAAATAAAAGAAAAGAAAGGGAAACCACAACACAACTCGGGTTTGCTTCAGAGCCTTCAGTCAAACCCGAACAAGACTCTCGTCACCCAACAAATAGCAACCACATGCACCAACCAATCGCCAAGTACCAATAGTTGGAATTTGGGAATGGAATAGCAACCAATCCCAAAAACATTCCATTGGTCCAAACATCCAAATACAAGCCCCGACATGCTCCATCCATGCGGCGACCTTGCTCTTGAACCTTCGCCGCGGTCCTGGACCTCGTAGGTCATGGCCGCCCAACGTCCCTCAGGTGGGAAGACGTCCGAGGGGGGGATGTAGACCACGCGCCTCGGCCCGCAGGGGGGGGCGCCTGGATAGGTGTGGAACCAAAAAGCCGCAGGGGTGGGTTCTGCAGCTCAGGTGAAGCATATTGAAAGATTTGCTATGTGTAAATGTGTATGTTTTGTCCAGAATTTGATGTCGTAGTTATGCTTGTATCGTCAACTGTGACAATTTCATACAATTTCTGCTTTTTCATCTAAAAAAACTGCCAAAAGGCAGACATTTGGCATAGGTTGGAAGATCCAGGTACATCTTTTTAATATGGGTAGAGCATGGTCCCAAAAAACTACTTCAACTGGCGAGGAATACGGATGACATGCGCCTCCCAGTGCAAGTCCGGGGCAGGACCGACTCCCAGGGGCTGGGCATCACTGACTCTCAACCTTTTGGGAGTCTTGCCCCTGTTTGGACAACAACAGATGTTCATGGCTTCACCGACTTTCCCCTTGGCTGGCTCTCCCTCCCTCTCGGTCTCCAAGCCCTAGAGGATCAGTGACTCGGAAGGGCAGCTCGTAGTCCTCCACCAATGATCAATGGGTCGATTGAATACCACGGGCCGTATGGTCTAAGGGAGGTGAGGTGAAGCAAGGCCGGAGGGCCCCACAAATGCCAAATGTCAGTAACTAGACCTCCAAAAGGATCCGGAGATGACAACCAGTCTGGTAAATCAACTTTTGACTCATCAACTGTCTATGACATCCTTGAAGAAAAACACATCAACCTCTCTCTCTCTCTCTCTCGCGCTCTCTCTCTCTCTCTCCCTCTCTCTCTCCCTCTCTTCTTTCCGTCTTGCCCTCCTTGATCGAGGTCGCCGCATACTTCGGATCGGTGCCATAGGTCCGGAAGTTCTGCGAGGTCTCATACCTCTCGTGGACTCCGGCGAGATCACCGGGAGGATGTTGATTCCTATGGTCCTATAAGACAATAAGATGTTTTTTTGCATGTACAAAGGAGATATTTGCATCTGATGTGGCATGTATATTGCCAGCCGCCGGGCCCTGTCGGGTCACCACTACTGCCACTGTCGGGAGACCTGTCGAGTCGGGTGATGGTATAGAGCGGGTGCCAACGTGTTTCCAGCAAAGAAGAGCTTGGTCAAGACAAACTAGCAGCCGCTAGCCGCGGGTCGCAGGCCTCTGGGTCGACCCATGCTTCAGTCGAATTTTGTGACACTCGCAGTCGCGAAGTCTTTTTGATTTGGATCACCCTGCAAGTGGAAGACTTTTCTTTACGGAAAGACTATGAAAAGGAACACGTCGTGCTGGAACGTTCGAGCGTCGAGTCAAAGAGCTCTCGCGGTGTCGACGTCCGACCCGATCGCCGTCTTTGTCGGGCGCACAGGCTGCCACTGGAGGGCAAGGAAGTGATGAGATACTGGAGCTCGGCACCGTTCTCCTGACACCGCGGCGGCTCGCTCGTCACAAGACATCAACTTCTGGAGATCAAAACATTCAGAGAATGAGATCTATGCAAGGATGATGTCATTGAGTCTATCGGGGAATTTTAATGAGCAACTCAAGCAACGCAAGCTCCTCATATCCAACGAGTGTGCAAACTGTTGCTTGACCTCAGCCAGAGCTTGCCATTGCAGCGGCATTGACCCATTGACCACTGTCACACCTCCCATTGAACACTGAAACTTTACGCCACCCAAAGGATACTTTATAGACCCCCCTGGAGATGTATTTGCCAGCCAATAACCACCCAAACTGGGTGGTGCTGTGGTGCTGGAGCTGAATTGTTACATGTCCTACTTCAAACGGAACAGGCTTTAACTTTTCACACCTCTGCATCTTGGCCTTTGATGGTCTTTGACTGGGTACAAGACGAAAACGAGGATGTCGTGCAGCGAGGAAAACAAATACCAGGAATCTTTAAGGCCCCAAAGGGGCTTGACTGACCATGTATCGACATTGATCATTGGATGATACTTGTTCACGTATCTGATCTATAACTCAAGCAGGGATTAAAACACCATGAATCACGTCTTAACTCCCGCCGCTGCAACAGCTAGAGTCTAGGCATAATAATTAACTGATGGTAAGCTCGGACTTGGAGATCGCTCACGGTTAAACGCTCAAGTCCCAGTTCGTCCACAATTTGCTGAGCACCGTGGCACTGTGGGTAAGGCTTTGCCCGCTTCAATGGGCAGGAAGATTCTATCAAAGAACAGGAGCCAATTTTCTGCGCACTTCCTTTGATGGAACAGACCTTGACCCAGCCACACCGAGATTGACGTGTGTGTAATACAATCAACATGATTGGCCGTAAAACCTCCACATGCATGTTTAAATCAATCTCTACAAGGCACATCAAGATTAAAAGTTATTCCCTCTGAAGAACCCTTTATATATATATATATTGGATCATAGATGACTTCGTCTCTTTACCACACAACACAACTCAACACACCAAATCTGGCAGTCCGTCTATCTGCTCCTCACCCTCCAGGGCCGATGTTGTACTGGGTAGGCAAGCTAGCGTGACCATGAACACGAGCTGAACCCGTCCTAAACTGCCTGTGATACCACAAAACCAAGGTCAGCTAGCAGGATGAGAACAGAAAGATCTCCGTGGAAAAGAAATAAACGCGTCTCAAACAAGGTGGGCGAGTGGCCCAAACAAAACAGCAGCCAGGTGGGCCACAGTCTAATAACCCGGATGATACTAATTATTCACCTGAGCCACCTGTTCACCTGAGCCACCTGAGATTGCTGTCTGTTTCGAGTGAAACCCGTATATTATCTCCGAAATCTTCTCAACATTCAATAGGAGTCTCCATTCAATGTGGATGAAACTGGAATCTCAGCAAGCTCAGTAATTCAAGGTAGAAAAGGGGTATGATCAATCGGTTCAAGCAGAAACACATGCATTTCTGGAAATTAAGTATCAATGAATGGGTTTAGACTTCAGGGAAAATCTGCCGGAAAACAATGCTTTCTGGGGTGAAAACCATGGTTTCCTGTAGATTTTCCCTTGAACACATTCATTGAAAGTATCTGAAGGCAAAGGCAAAGGGCAACTTGAATCAATTTGTCGGTTACGGCGTCCTTGAATGTTGATCAGCTTGATGCCTCTGAAACACTCGCATGAGTTCAATTGGATAGGGAGCATGGTGCGTTGATTGACAATTGAAGCCTTCTGCAAAATACTTGGTATATCCGAATCCCAAAACGATGCGAACTTATGGCTCTATTCTGACTTAACGACTCCGTCTTTCAAACACCTTCTGCGGATGACTTTCATGTTCCTTATGAACCCCCGAAATCGAAGAAACCCACCAGCTGAGTTCTTTCTTTTGGGCGACATGTGCCCCAGCAGTGGGCTGGCCGCCTGTCCGAGGCGCGGCGGTGGCTTCCGGGCGCCCGCGCCCGCGGCCACCGGGCAGGCGGTATGCCGGGCCACCGGATTGCTGACGGGTGCAGCGGGACGGTGGAAGATCAAGGAGAAGCCATCCAACCCGAGCTGCAAATGTTTTTTTTGTCAGAAAAGGGACACCTTTCTTTGCAGGATTGGTATTATCCATCAATGTTGAATCGGAATTATGGAGGTAAGGGACCAGTAACAAAAACAAACATATATTATATGTGCTCATAAATAGATTGTATGGGATAGATATAATAGAACGAAAGAATGACATTGAGAATTGTTGTATTATCTCTCGTGATGACTGGGGCTGGTGAGCAATATACTCAAAGGACCATCTATGGACTATGGATAAAGAACTCTTGTTTTCTTTTGGGGGGTCAACAGTGCGTGAATAGCACCCCAAGCAATTATGGGTCAACAGTGGCTGAGGGGGATTCAGGGAATGAAGGCTATAGGTGTTTCCGTCATCGGAACTCCTGTCGAACTGAAGCAGACAGATCAACCCAAACAAAAAGAAGAGCAGTACCTCTACCCTGCACAACAAAAAAGAGCCAAACATGTTTTGATATACTGTATGACTGTATGTCTTCACACATAGTTCGTTCTCCACACCAAACACCCAAGAGCTTCGCGTCTTTCGCGCCGAGTTTTTCTCCCCACAAGCCCACCGGACCGCCCGGTGGGAGTTGGGTGAAACTCCGATCTTTTTCCGCCAAAATCTTGTTTTTTGCAGTTCTGGCCACTTGGGCCACTTGGGATGCTTATTGTTTCTCCTGGAAACGTGGAATACCCCAGCCGGCACAAGAGTTGGGGGCTGGGAAGTCTAGCCATGACAAGTCGATGCTTGCATAGAACGCCAAACAACACCATCAACAAAAGAATACACCTGCAGGATCATCAAAGATCTACGTCTGGTTCCCCTGGTCCCACCTGGAATAGAGGATCGGAAAGATGTTGTCGATATCGGCCCCAACCCGCACCAGGGCACACGCCTTGGGGGGACGAGTTCGGACACTCCGACATGCGGAACGGACGGACGAGAGGAGGACGGGTTCAGTGGGCTTGGGCGAGGTTTCGGTGAAAGAAACGCGGAGGCCAAAGAGAGCTTGCCATGACGTTTCTCTATAGTTCTTCAGTACCTGACGGTGCCGTGCCGTTGCTGCCGAGAAGAAAACCTGGATCATCGAAGGGAACACATGAATGCCTTGTTTCTGGAAGAAGAAAGGCCGTGAAACGCGTCTTTTCCCAGCCCTGTTTCAGACCGGCCAAACTCCGGTGAAATCGACAGTCCAAGACATCGGCTGTGGATGAGCTGTGGATGAGCTGCTCTTTTACTCTTCTTTAAATTAAGAAAAATATGTAGCGTACCATATCTATACAACGTTGGCATATCCCTCATTGTCTGGAGAAACACAGACTAGTGAGCTGCTCAAATTGCAATGTCGCTGACCTGCACTTGGACGACCCCTTCACTGAGCCTCCAAGCCCAAAGTATCCGTAACATGGCGTCTATTCACCAGCCCCGTTTGGGGCCCCGTTGCTGTGAGCCAAGGGTAGCGATATTGCCCCCGACACAAACAGACTAATTAGTGTTTCAATGCTCCAGTCTATATACAGTTCATATATCATCTCAGAGTTGGTGTATTTGTGGGTGGATGACATGCTCTGGTCGCCCTGCCATCAGTCGTGTTTGAGTTGAATGATTTGGCCCAAATGCATCTGGTGCACGGCCATTCAATAACCAAACACGTGACACGTGTTCAGACTTCTGGAATACCTCCGCAATTGCGTCCACTCTCTTTTGAGTCTCACAGCTTCTTTTTTGGCGCGGTTTCTGCTGTGGCGCCACCGGGAGTGAACAGGTGGACCACGGTGCTCGAAATTTGATCCAAAGGGAATTCTCCAGCGATGAGGACTTCGGGAAAGCTGTGTCCTGCAAAAGGCCCGGCGGCCCATGCTGTGTGCGGGTACTACAAACAAAAGGGCGCTGTGTCCAGCGCTGGTGCAGAAAAAGAGTAGCAAGGTCCAGTTCGCCACTAGTAGCGATGCCCGGAGCTCCGTTCATAGGCGATTGCCCTTGGTTTCTCGCAGCGATTCCCGGAGTGCCAAGGACTGGAGAGTGAGTAGCTGCTGGTGAGGTCGAATGGCCTTCGCAGAAACCGAGTTCTCAAACGAGATCCCCCCAGTTGGTGCGACCTCGCCCATTTTTTCGCCGAAGAGTCTGAAGACTTCAGACTTGGCTGGTGAGGAATCCAAGCTCTTCGACCAAAGCATGGAGGGTTGACATAATACCTCTATTTTGTCCACCAGGGTGCCAGGTCCAGGTGCCAGGTCCGGGTGCCAGGTCCCGCCACAGCCCGTTCGTTGGGCATGTTCCGACTGAAAGGGATCCCTGTGGTCCTGCCATCATCATGTCCTTCAAGTGGTAGCCTCCATCCCTCAGCTCTCTGGGCTGAAATCCTGAGCCGATTTCAGATTGAAAGCGGAGGAGGGCTGCCAATCCATGGCCTCCCAAAACCTGCCAGTTCAGCTGCCAGACCCACTGGGAAGATGCTCAAAACCAAATGATACATGAAATATCATGAAATTGTATGAAATTGTAATGTGTCATTGTGTCATAATCATTTTTTGAGCCATGCTCCATCTGAAAGGCTCGAAGTGTCACCAAACCAATCTCTTTAGGGCTTGGGGACCAACACCCCGCTCTTCCACTTCTTAATCCATTGGTCACGCCAGTAGCCTACAGGGCCCACAACAAAGCACCTAACAAATCCACAAGAACCAAACCCCAACGAATCGAACCTTTGCAAAGAGGGATTTCTTCCAACCTGAAAAGCACCGGTGTCACATCTCTGAGGGGTCAGGCTGAACCAACGAAGTGGAACGAAGAAAACACTCCCTGAAATCAAATAAGAAACGGCCTGCCAAAGACTTTGGAAGATGATCTTGCTACACTCCCTGAAAACCCCGACGGACTTGGATGGCACCCACTGTTTGGTTCGGAACATATGGTGCTTTCGGAGCACAAATCCTTTACCCACCTCTCCGCACCAAAAGAGTTGCTCCTACTAGACCGTGTTTCATTGAAGTCACTTCTTCGAGAAGTCACTCCTTTTCCACAGGATCCTCTTCACTTGGATCTTTTAGATTGAGGAAAACAGTATCGTCAGTGGTTCACCAGTCTCCCGGATCTCAAAGACGATCATCTGAAACCACCCGACGAGAACATCCGCTGAAGGATGATATTGCTTCCTTTCTTCCGGCTCCGATGAGAGCGGCTCCGTGGAGCCAAGAACAACCCAAACCTCATCGCGACCTTCCGAAGTGCGACGTTCGCGTTCCGTCCGACGTCCGCGGCTCAACAGGCTCCGCCTGCTTGGGAGAGGTCTTGAACTGTAAATCCCATGGCTCGAAGTTGCCGGGCACCCAGAGTGAGAAGCTCCTGCAGTAGGGCTCCGTTGGAGACAGTCTCAGTCTGAGACCCATTGCATCTGCAAGGTACAAAATAGATGCCACCATTGGCTCTGAACCACCCCAATGTATGCAAATATTTGCCATAACATGCAGTGACGAGTGTCTCGGTCATAGTGGCTTTGTGTCTCTTTGACATGTTGGGGCTAAGAGGAGTCCTTCATGACCTGACAACACCGAGCCCTGAGGAATGAGGCCCCACTGTAAAAGTACTTGTATCAATTCTAACATCAGTCTGAGCCTTGACCATCAAGTTTGGCCTTGAAGATCAAAAAGAAAGGCATCCACAACAAAATTGAACAGCCCATATGGTGCCCTCAAGGTTTTCACCTCACGGCATGATTTGAGCTCCACTCCTTTGCTGTGAACCCAGCATCTTTCCTCAGCTTCGAGCCGCTGCCGAATCAACATTTATGGATATGCTAGTGCACACACCCACACGCAACTTTGCTGACATCCGTGACATCCATGTGAGGTTTGCCTCGGCGGTCAATTTGATGGCAAGTGAATCTCCTCTATTTTGACGTTAAACAAAGTCCTTAATCAATTCCTTGGTACTCACTCCTTGAAGCGCTTCTGTTTTGCATCGCCATCACGTGTACAAATCTTGGGACTTCCTGCAACAGTCCTCTGGATGGCCAAAGGTGCAAGGCCTCTTGCTGCACTGACGACGCGTGCGAATGACCCTTTACTGAGACCCACAAGGGGTGGTTAACGGACACCCCCTAACCGCCCTAACCTCTGAAGTGGCTATCAATAGACACCCCTTAGGGTGTCCTGGTACTGGGATCGGTTTGTTCAGACCTACACATCGGACTCCCAAGTTCAGCCAACCGACACAGCCCCCCACTTACGGTAAAGCGGCGAACTACACCGGTGATCTCGCGCAAGTTCGGTGCGTCTCCGGTGGCAGGCCCTTCCCAAGTAATCTCGAGGGCTCGCCACCCAGCATCGCCAAGCATCAGCTCTTCTGGTGTCCATCCAGCCTCTACCAGCTCGGTCGCCCTAAAGCTACAGCCTCGTAGGTCAGCTGCCTAGCGCGCAAGGACTCCCCAACAAGTCCAAAGGAGTGGGTTTGATGATGTTTGATGAGCGAGCTGTAGCTGTGAGCTCTGTGGCCCCGGCATCTTGGTCACTCCCTATACCCTGAGAAGTTGATCGACGGTCAACCCTTCACAGGGAGTACCAATGTTGAAAACTTCATGGCTGACCAATGTTGCTTGATTTACCATCACATCCATCCGAGTTTCATCCTAACTCAAAGAATGGACTCAGCAGAACTGCTGCTTTTGGGTGGCCGTTCCAAAACTGTTGGTGTTCCAAACGAATCTCCGCCGTCCACTTCTCAACTAGCTGAATATGCATGCAATTGCATGCAGCATAGCCAGGGTTCCTTCATGTTACAACGCCTGGCGTGATGACCCTACCTCCCTGTCTTCGCGGCCAGGTAATGACGAACACTCTTCATAGCTACAGGAGGCTCCACATTCGTATCGACAGAAATCGACAGAAGCCTGTGCCGACTCAACGACGTCACCGGTCACTTGGCCTGGTAGCCCAGGGACCTCAACACGTCAGCGCCACAACCCAGATCCTGAGATGCTTTTGGGTGAACGGAAACTCTGTGGCAGCTTGCAGCCAATCTTTTTCCGCAGGAATTTGGCGGAAAGAGCCCTGTAGAAGGGGAAGGAACGAGTGAGGCTCTGAGGCGCGTTTGATTTTGTACTTTTGTGGTTGCTTTAGTGGGCCAACCTCCACTTCTAAACTAATGAGCCTACTCAGGGATGGTAGATCAAGCTGTGATACACTAATATGGACATATATGGACATGAGTAAACGTCAACTGTGGCCTGCCGAAAAATACAGTGATCATTACATAGTAGATCATAGTAGGATATCGGGATATCCTTGTTCTGTGGTTTCAAATTGATTTCTTCCTTTTGGTGGAAGACGCGTCGCGTGGCACATCGGGGTGACGCTGGTTCTACGTCTGTGTCATCCGTTCTGTCTGGTCCGAACACAACCAGGTGATTGGATTCGCGGCTAGTGGGTGATCAACATATATATATATATCATGAAAGCAAGCCCTGAAAGCCCAACAAAATGTCCAAGACCCATCTTCTCTCTGCCCCCCTGCAATCTCCTGGAATTCTGGTGCTGTGCAGCCAGCTTCTTTCAGGTCGGCTTTGGAATAGCCTCTGGCAAAAGGGCTGGTCAAAATGTGCTGTTCAGATATCAAAGATCAGGGGATATCAGGGGAGAGTGAGCTGAGTGTATCAAAAAGGAAACAAATGAACAAACAAATAGTAGCCTTGCAAAACAAAGACAAAGCACACTCTCTGCAAATGGGCAAATTATGAACGGGCTTCATACTTTTCCCAACCTTTCATCAAATGCTCGAAACACACGTTTCCTGCATGTAGCTGATCAACCTGTTTAATTAGCAACTGGCAACCGCTCCCAATGAATCTCCAGCTCACCGTGGCATTCGCCCCGCATGGCGGCTGACTCTTCAATCTGCGATTGCCGTCCCCCAAATCGGTCGCTCACGCACCCAAGAGTGCTCGCTTGGCAGGATGCACAAGTCCACGATTCTCCTCCAAAGCCTTGAGCATGGCACTTTGACTCTTCCCACTGGCTTTGATATCATCGCGGTTGGCCAACTTCCTCAAAGCTTCGGACATGCCAACCTTGTCAGCCTTCGCTAAGACCGTCGCCTGCAGCTCCACCTCCTCACCCTTGAGCGCCTTGGCTTTCACCACCTTTGCCGCTCCATCTGCCCTTGGGCGGCCACGCGCGCGTTTTGGGGCATCGGCTGCAGCCTTTGTCTTGGCTTCCTTTTCCATTGCCTTGGACTCCTTGGCCTCCGACAAACGCGGCTTCTTTGCTGCCGGCTCTTCAGCACCTTCACGCGGCACGGGCACGTAGGACTTCATGGCTTCGTCATAGGCTTCCTTCTTGGCCTTGTATTCATCCTCATAGATCGTCTTCTCTTCTGCACTCAGCGCACTCCACTTGGCAGATGCCAGCTTGGTCACTGCGGTGATTGGTTGACCAGCGGTCTCCTTTTGGAAAGCCGCGCGGTGCTTGGCCAGGAAGCAACCATAAGCGCCTCCAGCAGGGCGCTTCGGGGCATCTGGGTCTTTCTTCTTCTTGCCATCCTTCTTGCCCTTAGCTTTGCGCTGCTTCTTCTCGCCTCCGGCTTCCTCGAATGCCTTCAGGTCCGCTTCATACTTGGCCTTGGCAGTCACGTACTTCTCCTGATAGATGGCTCGCTCTTCTTCACTCAAAGCCTTGAACTTGGCCGAGGCCAGCTTCGTAATCTCCGTCACAGGCTTTCCTTGAAGCTCCTTCTGTAGCTCCGAGCGCTTCTCAGCTAAGAACTGTCCAAAAGCACCACCTGCAACCTTCTTTGGCTCGACCAAGGCCATGTCAAATGCGAGGAGTACGGGGAATCCGGTGGAAGAAAAAATGGCTCAAAGGCTTGAGTCTGTGATTTACCGCGAACACAAAACAAAGCTGGCACTTCGTCCACCTATATAGGAATTCAAAGCAACATATCATATGAGGTATAGAAACGTTGAGATTTCTAGGATTTCCTATACAGTTGGTTCTACTGCAGTGTAATGGTAATGTATCAACTTGTACCAACCGAAGAGCGCTGAAACAAAGCACTGGCTGTCCGTGCTGAGGCCATGGCCCAGGCTGATGAGCTCTTGTGCGGGGAAGCCAGCCTCATAGAGGCCTGGCCATTCGTGCTTTCAGGCGTTTGGAGAGTCTAAAGGAGGCGCTGAGGAAAGACAAACTTTTGAAGGTAGCAGAACATGGTGTAAAGAGTTATATGTACTTGTTACTGTACTTATTGGTATCAGTGGGGTGGTCACCGACCTTTTCAGCTCCAGTATGCCGCAGAAAAAAGGGGCACACATGACCGGAGAAGACGTCTGAGTGTCGCATCAGTGTGTGCATTCTCGCGGGAGGGGTGGTGATAGATAGCTTCGTGTCTACCTCAGGTCATCTATCCAGCCGCTCAAACGCAACAAAATAGACCTCCCACCTAAGGAGGTAGGTGGGGTGAACTACCCCCTACCAGATTAATTATGTATTTATTTTTTCATCCGGTACTCCAATTATTGAATCCAACCCTGCTCGAGTGCTGGGTTCTGAAATTCAAGCCTAATAGTATAATCAGAGGGGTTTGAGCATTAACCAGAAACGATCAACAATCAGTGAGAAATGGAGTAAACAATCAAGAGGGCCTTGACCTAATCATCCGCACTATTTTGAGTCATGAAAATATATGAATGAACATTGTGTTTGGAAAGGGTGGTTCACTACTTACATATCCCTGGATCTACTTCACGTATTTGTTCTTTCCTCTCTCCCTCTCACTCTGTCTCTCTTAGCCAATCCCCATCCCTTTTGAAACTCACAGCACTCTTGTTGCTGTTTTCTTAGGTCATTTCGTAGAGCCGGCACACAACAACGCCCAGCAAGTTCAGATTCAATCCACAAAAACATGAAATTAATCAACAGGTAGTCAAGTTCTCTAAAATCTTTTGAGTTCTTTTCTCCACACTTTGCTTCCCCACACCCCTTTGCATCATGAATCTGCCTCGAGGTGAGTCAATTAATCTTACAACATTTTCTGAGTGATGTTGTATAACTTCTCATCATCAAGACAATTTAAGTAGACCCTTGGATTCAATACCTTGGGTAGGGTAGATCGGAACAAAAAGACACATCGCTAAAAATGGTGCACGAGATCCTTATGACCTACCATAGACATAGCCAAAGTGGATTCACCAACCACTCAACCCATCTCTCCTGTCCCCTCTGACTCTGGCCGGCACGAACACGAGCCCCACCTTTCAGCGGAACGTGGTGCACCAACGCAGCGGCGGAGACACCCACGGCGCGCAAGACTCTGGGCTGGTGACCCAAGCTGAGAAGCTCGGGCAAGCCATAGCCAGCCTCCTGCGATGGGTTGGATGGCTGGCTGGCTGGCTGGCTGGTTGGTTGGTTGGTTGGTGAGCTTGGCTCTCAACCACAACTGCTTGCATAAACATATAGTCTCATACAAGGATAAGGTTATCATAGGTTATCATTATCTACTTGTGGGACTGCAGGTCTAAGCATGGTCTAAGAATAAGAAACTTTCCCATTCTCTGATGGTGAGTTTGCTTTGTTTCTGGTGGAGAGGTGGTCCAAAAAAAGATTTGATTGAGTGCTACACACTTATCCAGACACTGGGAGAAGATAAAACTCAGTGGAGCAAGAATTCTGAGGTCTAGCAGTATAGCCGCTTGGCTTAGCCCTGCTGCAGCCTGGCTCTGACATTTCACTACTGGCATGGACATGGAACATGGACCATTTTCCGCCGTCTTGGGGCCAGAACCATGTCATGGTGGCCGTTTTCGACTGTGGGTCATTAAAAAAACCAGCCGACCACTAGGAGCTCCCACCAACTGGGTGGTCCATTCTGTTCATTCTGAGTGCCTCTGCCGTTCCGCTGGCGCACCCGGCGGAACGTGCGGTCCTGAAGGATCCTCACCACCGCCGACTCACCTGGCGCCCATGAAGGGCAGCGGGACCCCAGTGCGGAGGCCGTCAAGCAAAAGGTTTTTGGAATCCCAAAAGCAAAGCTTTTTCGTGTTAGAGGTGGTCAATTGCATTCATTGATGGTTTTGTCTAGAGTCTAGTGCCCTTTCTGTTTTGTCTGGTGGTTACAGCAAATTCACCGACTGAGTGGATGAGGCTTGAGGAGTTCCACAACCAATTGAAACGAACAAGCTCCATTGTAAAGAACGGATTTCCACCATTTCCGGGAGCCGTGAGACATGGTGAGATGTGTTAGATGTTTGTTTCATGTTATATGATGTATAGCCCAGTGCATCCCAGGCAAACCACGTACTATAAGGAACCAGGGATTCTAGGTCAGTGGTTTTAGTCTTTGGAACCACTGGTTACCAGCTATAGTGGTAACTGGATGCCCTGGGTAGACTATAGACAAAAGTGTAAAGCATCCAACTCTCAGTGCTCGAGTCCCCAACCATGGGCATCCATAAACCGTTGGTGCCGACTGGAGCCAAACACTTGAGGTCCTTTGCCCATGAGACACTGGGTTTTCCCATCACCCGAACCGCATGACCCCTTTTCCAGCGAAAGGGTGCATCATTGCTTTCAAAGACCCACATCTTTCTAGACGTCCTTGAGACTTGCAATGTCTTAGTGCCACAGTACGACTACACTTCACTAGACTCTTCTCTGTCAAAGCGCCAAAAGCAAGCTCCCCAGATGATTTGTCACTCCATCGCGGACGGCGCACGTCATGGCCTTGAGCTTCATCTTCCAAGGCAAATGGCATCAGCACGTCATGGATGGTTTTTTGAGGTCTGTTGCTTCCGGATGAGAAAAAACGAGTCTCCCAGAAGGAGTCAAAGCACATTGGATGTCTGTCAAACAAAGGTCTGTTGCTTCTGGATGTCTCAATCGCTCACATTCCCGCAGCATGGGAAAAAAAAAAAACAATATATTCTGAGTCTCTGTGGTTGATGATGGGCCACGGACTTGCAGTTTGTGGGCCAGATTTCCCGTCGTTGATCCCTTCCAAAAGGAGGGTTGCTGGTGTTTGGCAGGTTCTCCAGGACTTCCTGTTTTGAGTGGAACATGAAGACCCCTGATCTTCCTTCTTTGAGTGGAACTTCTGATGCTTCCTTCACTCAGACATCACCTGGGAGGGGGCCTAGACTCGATGCCAATGCTCACATTTCTCCGGGATGAGCTGTGTAGCATGCAGCTCTCGGTTTCAATCCGAGGAGAGCAGCTTCCATTGGGCTGGCTGCGCTGTGTCCGGGGGGACGAAGCAGTCTCCGATGCTGCAAACAGTCACGGCTCAATCATTGAATGCTTCATTTGATGGGATGAATGATGGCCAGCGAAAACAAAGGACTCACAACAGCGGCTCCTGAAGAAGGACAGTTTTGCCTATTGAACATTGAGAAGACTGAGACAGAAGACAACTTTTGATATCTTGAGTGTGTTCACTCTTGTCTTGCGATGTATTGAGAAGCTGCGCAGTCTCACCTCGGTTCTGCAAATCTGTTCAACGAGCTGAGGCTTTGAAATTCACAAAAAAAGAAAAACAACACAACATATGGATTTACCGTACCAATGTTTGGTGCATGGACATATTACCTTATAGAGCGGAACCAAAACCATCGGATGATGCGTCATGTTGCAGCAAACAGGTAATTTGGCGAGCAAAAGATACTTGTCCCAAAATCTGCCCACCAAATGTTAAAACATGTTAAAACGTGCGGTCACAAAGACCTCTTCAGAATGGTATTTCTCACCAATTACCATCCAACGGCACCCAAGGCCCGCTGTCCTTTTTGGGCATTCAAGGTCAACTACACAAGACTACAAAATGGCCTGTGCAGCGACGATACAGTGACAGACTTACGATTTAGGCTGTCCCTGAAGCAATTCAAACACAAATGGAAAAACTTTTCGGTTGATAAACTCGGGTCTGCCAAACACAACTGGAAGGCAATTTGATGGTTCTCTCACAAAAACTGCACATCTGGATGGCCATATACTTGGTGCCCATATGAGTGTGTACTAAAATAGGGAGACCCCCCAAAGACCATCTTTAAGAAGGGAAAAAACAACATAAAACATTGGTTAGGGGTCTTCCTATAAAAATACACACCCATATGATCAAAGTGAGCATCAGTTCATTTGATTAAATATATTTGCAGGGACAGCTTCTCAGCTACCGCCGTTCATAAGCCCAGACAACATCTCCTGGGAGTCTTTGGACTTCGATGGGTGATGAATTCGGTGTATGGGTGAAAGACTCGTGCACAACTTGGTTGACAAAAACTGAACGTGTGCATAGTATAGACTACGGTGTGGACTAGGGCTTTCCGAAAGTGGTTTGAAGAAGTTCTAGAAAACCTAGAGCACACCAGAAAACCACTACTGCACATTTTTCCAAGAACAGGAAAACTCAGATTTGTGGACCAGGCAAAGAACAAAAACAAAAGATAGGAAACCACAAACCACTTGTGGGGCTCAGTTGGAATCATCTGACGTCGGACCAGCAAGTGGTGGGGCAGATAGGGTCCTTCGATTGAGGGTCCTGCGTCACACACACACAACACAAATCACACACAAACACACAGACACACACTTAGATAAGGTTACATGCAATATCAGAATCCACGAAGAAAGGGATGAGGGAAACGCACGGCGGCTGGGTCAGCAAAACACTTGGAGTGATTGAACATCTGTTTCCAAAAGGCCCGCAACTCTCGGCAGTGGTTCAGCTGCAGTCCGCTGGGAAAAGGGTTTTGGTGAATATGAAAAAACCATGAAAGCAAACCACAGCGGTGGAGATTGGAGTGTTGTCATCAGCAGGTACACAGGGATGATCAGTCCCTGCATCTTGGTCATCTGCATAGAGCTTCGTTGGCGACAGATATGCAGTGACCCTGTCGCCCCCTGCTTGCCTTGGAGAGAGAGAGGTTGAACATAAGCCCGTGGGAAAAGGAGACTGAGAAAAAAACCTTGGATACCGGGTGTGACACACACACGCACACTTGGGAAATGCATACTGACATGACTAGTGGTTTGCCACACGCCAGCCTAAGTAAATAAACACCCAAGAGACCAGGTAC